GTATATTTTCTACAGTATAAAACAAAATAGACATGTATACTCCCAGGGTATGAATTTAAAAAAAAAAAGAAAATAGAGATAAATTTTTTTGTTGTTGTCTCAGACTTTTCATGTGTACTATGAAATACAGTTCTGTGATTTTTTAATTTCTTTTGTGGAGTTAACTATTTACTATGCTATGGTTTAATAGATAAATAAGATCTGGGAGCCCACAAAGTTGATTTGGAAATGTGAAATAATTGCTGTTTTCCAGAGCAAATCAGACACAAGCCACTAGGTGTCCCTAAATGTAAAATAAAAGCAGTCAAGAAGGAGCAGCAATGAAAGAGACTGGAAAACATTTCCTTTCATAGGGAACAAACTGACAATCAGTTACTGGGCACAAATGTTTGATTTGGCCTCTGATAAGCTAAGATTATTTTGAAACTTATTCTTACTTTATTAATACAAGTACAGTTTCATTTTTGTGTGACAGCAAGAAATTTTGCATGCATCATACCAATGAATAACAATGCTAGCAACAAAATAAAAACTTCAGAAAATCTTGGTTAACTTAAAATAGATTATAAAAAAGAAAACATCTATCTTTACAAGATTTATATGTCCTTGCATTATGTAAGGTCACTTTTTCTGAGCTGTCTTGCAGCACAAAGGGGTCAATGCTTTCTGGCCATAGGAGGTCAGTGGTCCCAATGACTGCATTTGAAGAGACAGAGGTCGCAGTGGAGGCAGAACTGTCCCCAAATTTAAGGACTGTCATCACATACTGTATGAGTAGGTGATCCTCTGCCTGGTTACTGTAGTGGTACAGTGACAGGTTTGTACATATTCAGTTTCTATTTATGCAACACATTAAAAATGTTTATCTTTCTTTTCAATGCATTCTTGATTAGAAGATCCAAAACCACTGTACAGATACTGATTCCAACACTATTTGCAAAAGACAAATAAGTGGTACTTTTCTGAGTTTTTTTGAAATATAAGTCAAGGAAAGAGACATGTGAAGTGACATGCAAAATTTGTACACAAAACCCCTAAGGTTAATAAATTAATAATCTATTTATTTCTAAAGTTTAGGACCAAAATAAAAATTATATGGTCTTTTCAATGCCTCTAAGTATTCAATTGTGCGAAATTCTAAATTTGAGACATTTGTTTTTAGTTTGAATACCGCTTTTCTGCAATATAGTAAGAAGACAGTGATATAAGTCTATTTTTAGTCTAACAGCCTATTATCTCCTCTGACCATCATAAATATGACAGGTGGAATGTAGATCTATTACAAGTTCTTATATTTTTGTTTGTGTTGAAACTTTAGGACTTTTTATTGCTGTGGCTTGACTTCACTATAGTTTTGGAGATTAATAACAGATACTTCAATAAAATTTATATTCTTGATGTTTAATACCATGTAACATTTTGAAGGAGGGCCCTTCATATGTTTCCTCTTGGAAAAGGGTCAATGGAGTGTTTTGAACTCATTTATCAAGCTGATTCTTGTGAAGCCCAGAATACACAGTTGTGCCTATCTTGTGGTGGCAAGGACAAAACTGATCTAATTTGTAGTTCCTATCTTCAATATTGCTCATGGTATTTCAGGGTCAGAAATCAACTGATTGATTTTCTGCTTATCCTGTCACTTTGATGATGTATCTCTTGATAGCATATTTTGTTACAGAGTACATTATTTCTGTCTTTTATCACTTATGAAGTCTACTGAAAATTATAGTATACACCTGGGAATGCAGAATCTATACTTCTGAAAGGTAGAAGTGAACTGGCTAGGAAAAGTGATTTTTTTTTTTTCTTGCTTTGCTGGTTGAATTCCTATTCATGGGTTTCAGGGTTTCTGTGTCATAAGGGTCACATAATGATAATATATCTATTTATCTTTGAATTTGATCAGAAGAGTATGTAATTTTTTTCTTATACAAGAAAAATTCTTCTCCCACTAGTTCTTATTTTAAACCAGTAACTGGCTTCAAGGGGAATGACAAAACCACTTCATGACCCACTCTTCTCAGGTGACTGGCAGATTTCTTCATGGGCAAGTGCTAAGGAGGTTCTGATGGATTTTGGTCAGCTGAAAAATTCACTCTCTGAAATAATTTGCAAAGGAGCAAATTTGCTTTCTCTTTAAGGGAAGAATCTCAGAAAAAATGTAGTTAAAATTTTGGTGTTTCAAGGCCATAAGTTCTTTAAAACCAAATATGGACCGCATAAAATTAGCCAAGAAAAGGGAGCTTCATGATGGTCTCAGACAAAATTGTAGGGGATGCAAGGAAACTGTTCCTACATTCTGTATTTGTAGTAGCAATTGAAATTTGGATTTTTTTTTTTTTTCTCACCAGCATTTTTTAAAATATTCCCTTCTATAACTGAAATATCTTTAAACAACAATAAGCTATGTTTTCATTTTCCTGTGAAAGTTGGAGGTTGTCTCCCACAGTTTTTTGCAATCGGTATTCAAATGTGCTGTGATTTCCTTTTGCAAAATAGCATATTAGAATCTATGAGTTCATGACTTAGTTATAGCAGTACAAGTATCCTGTAGAGGAGAAACTTCCTGAAAAGAACAATATGTAGTTTTAATGCCAAATAGGTGAATCATCAGAGTGAAACATCCTAGTAACAGACATCCTTAATAACAGCATTTTACCTAATTACTCTCTTTGGTGGAATAGTGAACTTAAACTATAAGCAGTTTTGAAATGGCTTAGTTAAAAATGCAATGTAAACAATTAATTTTGCTTTTTTTTCCCTACTTTATTGATTCTTCATATAGGTCTGTGATGTTGGGACCTTTTAACTGAAGTCAACATATAGGGCTGAAGTGTTATATTAAATATGTAACGCAGGCATTAAATAATAACTGTAATGTTGAAAGGGGAAAACTTTGGGGATGGCATGGTAGAGTGATAGGGTAAGTGTTTGAAGTACTGAAGCATGGATTTTGTCCTGCAGCTTCTACTCCTATGCCCTTTAGCCAAACACCATCTTGACAGCTTGTTCCAGCACAGTGCTTCTCACTATTCTTTTGTTAAGTATAATAAATGCTTTTTCCAAATGAAAGAGCATTTGTGCGATCCCTGTTCCCAGTCCACAGTGACCTTCTGCCTATGTTCAGGTATTCTCTTCTTATTTCTTACCATAAAATCATAACATCTTTCTAATTGCTTATGTAAAAAACAATCATGGCATCATCACAGTAAAATAAATTAACAATAATGGCCATAGTTGCAGCTGCAATCCAAGGATTCAAGGAAGAAATCAGCATTTCTTATGATGGGCCCTGATATCTGAGAATGGGCATGGAAGAAAGGAAGAAGAGCTGAGTTTGTGCAGTTCCAGATGGATACAGAGGTGCAGCTGTGTAAGTTTTATTCATGCTAAGGCTTATTGTGAACTCTACTTTCATAACCTTACTAAGCCGTGATTGGGTTTTGTCCCAAGTAAATGTTGTTTTTCATGTCATCCAAATGCAACTTTGGCATCAGTGCCTTATCCTGTGTGTACCAGACTAGCTTTGTTAAATTCACTAGAGCTCCATTGTTTGCATAAGGTGGAAACCTGTTTCTAAGATTATCACTCTGCTGTGGGAGACTTGTTCAGAACAGAACTCAGAAGAGAGCTATGCAAATATATTAATCTAAAACAAGACCAAAATGCAATAGGTTAACAACTTCACATTATGGCATGGTAGCGTGATCCTGAAACAACATAAGTACTTCTTAAACTACACACGTTATGTATAGAGACTGTAATTAAATTTATTTCAGTGTCTCTCTTAACAATTTGACCTTGTGGACTAACAGAATCACAAGGAAGGAAACTCTTAATATAGTCTAGTCCAACATCCCTGCTTTAAACAAGGTCAGCAAGAGCAGGTTGCACAGGATTGGGGTTCAGTCATGTCTGTGATATTTCCAAGGGCAAAAACCCCACAGACTTTCTGAACAACCTATTTTACTGTTAAAACTACACACACAGTAAAAAAAAGTTTTCTGTTTCTGTGCATTTCAGTTGGTACCCCTGGCCTGTTCACCTGTTTTTAGATAATAATCAGAAAAGTCAGTCTTGTTTACACCTCTCATCAGGTTTTTATAAACATTGATTAAACCCACCCACCTCCCCAAGCTTTCTCACAGCCTGGCTAAACAATCTCAGCTCTCACCTGTATTTTGAGGTGGGCCATCTTGCAGATCCAGTTTCTTCGAGCTGCAGGCAGCCACTCCTGAACTCCCCTGTGATCCAAGGACACTCTCCTACTTGAATTCAAGACTTCAGCCTTCAGCTGTAATATGATGGAGATTCAAAAATTTAAAAAGTAAAATATTCCGTGTCTGTGGAAATAAATACACTGTTAACCTCGATTAGAAACCAAAAAGAAAAGAAAGGCAATATAATGTGAACAAGTAGTCATAAACACGATGATTTTTGTAATGTTTTCAGTGTTGTTGAGTTTAATAATTTAAATATTGTTGCAAAATGTCTTAGCATTTCATGAGACTGTTTATTATCTTATGAAGTACTGCAACAGAGTGAGAAATTCATTAAGTATAATAAAATTCAATTTTTGTTGCAATATTTATTTATACTATTTTATAAAATTACTTAGGCTTAGCTATAGCATATAAAGTGTTCTCTGTGACTCTACAGTAAAAGAAAAGAGCCTTAAACTTTCTGTATTCCAAATTGGTTGCTTTGCAAGTATCAAAATCAAAGCTTAAGAGCTCCAAGAATATGTTCTTAATAAAATAGTTGCACCGAGTTTGTTACTTCTGGAAAAGATGGCGTTAGGAAATGTGTTTAGACTAGAGACAGCTGCATGCAGCAGATAAAAGCTGAGGAAATGAGGGTAAGGAAATAGTTGTAATATTTCTCCTTTCCTCTTCCATGTATGTGTGTAAAGAGGGAGAAGCAATTAGTCATCTCTGCTCCATCAGTTGATTGGCTTCCCTCCATGTGAGCCATGGGAGGAGCGTGCTGCAAAAGTGAAACACACATGCAGTGAGGGAGCAACAGCAGAAGAGTAATTTAATTCAAGCCAAACTATTTCTTTTCGTTTTGTATTTTAAAAAGTCCTGAATTTTAATGTGTGGTCTTTAAAATATTTTTCTGCTGGAATGGAACTTCTCTCTGTAAAAGGTAGGTATTTTTATTGAGCTCCTTCATCCATGTGACAAGTGCTTAGTACATATAAGAAGTAACTTCAGAGAGCGGAGATGTGCGTTGTTCATTTATGTTGATGGGGGTATTTCTTGCAGTACTTCCTCCGAGGGAAGTATGTAAATTGTGCTCTCTCATAGAGCAGTTGAATTGCTGCAGTGTTTGGCCTCCGTAACTCAGCAACTCTTAGGCCCCTCAGCATTTGTGTTGAAAGTTTCCTGGACGTCTGACCTGATGGGATTATTCAGGCTGACAGACGTTCTGCCAAATATGGTGCAGTTCCATAGAGTTCTTGGGGATATTTAGGGAGAGATGAAAGCAAGAATAAGTAATAGGAAAGTACAGGTGATTAAGCAAACGGAAAGGATATTGGAAAACAATGGCAATCTCTCGGGAACCTTTATGTTGTAAAGTTGTGGACTCATTATTTTGTTTTATTGGCAATTACTAGGTCCTAAGTATAGCAATAAAGTATATGATGTATATGTGAATATATTCATAGAGCAGGTTTAATTATTGTAGGACTACAGTGATGTTTCATTCAGATTAAACTGAACTGTGATAGATGTTTTGACATGGAAGGGAAATTGAAAGACTATTTAATATTGTTTACAAGACTAAATTTCCTGAACTTTATTTGTCAGACACTTGATACAAAATTATGTCCAGGCTAAATTTTCATACCTATGACTACCTGAATCACAATCCTGTTAGCTTCAGAGCATTTTTCATTAATGGAAGAGATACCATAATGTGGAACTTTAAGTTGTTGAGCAAAATCAGAATTTGAAATGTTCACTTTTTATTTGGTAAGGAGTTTACTCAAATATGTGTTTTCTAATGGGCAGAATAAATACACTGTAGTAAAGGATTCATTGTAAAATGATAGAAGTTATTTTAGATTATATACAGTCTTCTGGGACTATTGCAGGGAAGAATTAAGAACTGGCATTATGAGGTGATGAATAATAAGTATAATACCCTTCCTGGACACCTGACCTCCATTTTACCCTCTGTGTTTATGAAGTTCCTGTAAAGTACAGAGTTTTCACATGTCTTCTTTCCCAAAGAATTCCAAACAGTCATATTATCTTCCACAGTGATACTTTTTAAAGATTACTTGTTTTCATTTTTGGTTGAGTTTTTTTTATACCACATAAATCCCTTAGATTTTATTTTTCATAAATCTTATTGGAAAACATTGTTAAGGTATTATCTAAAACTAATAATATGGTTTGCTTGATTTTTTTTTAATACAGTGAAAAAAGGAAGGCTGGATAAAACAACTGGTAAGTCTGGTTCCTCCTTCAATTTCTGCTTTACATTTTTCTTTCTTAGGCATTGGGTTCTGTATCACACTGAGGAATCATTTAAGTTTGGGACTACTGTGGTGCATTGGATCAACAGTACAGTACAAAATGTGTAAAGAATTTTGCATATATTTTAAAGATAAAATTATAAACCAATGTTTTGAGCTGAGATAATTTGTAATTTTAAATTATGAAACATTATTGTCTTGCAAGCTAGTGATATTTAAAATATATTTCTGCTACAGCAAATTTTTACATAATTTGATGACCTAAATGTGTCACTAGCCTATAGAAATGTTTTTTAAATAAGGAGTGTACATTACTTTAGCTTAGCCAGGCTGGGAAAGAGATGGTGTCGGAATTTTCCAGGTGAGGAAATACAGACAGGTGACACTGATAGGCAGTTATAGCAACCAGGTGTATACCCTCGGCAATAAATATGGGCAAAACCAAGCTGCCCAGGTCTACGCAAGTCTGTCTTTAGGACCAAGACTTAGCCGTGGAGGAAAAGAAAGTCCAAACACAGCCAGAGGTTTCTCACACACAAGTGGACTGTGAATCTAAGGACTTTAAGAAGTTTGTAATTACTATTTCACAGGAAAAGCTGATCTACAACTTAAGCAGTGAAGCAAAAATTGCCAGTAGATGTCTGGCTAATAGATGTAAGGTAATTAAAATTGCTCTAAAATTATCTGGATTAAAGAATGGTTACCTGAATGGATAAGGGTAGAACTGCTAGTTCTTCTAACAGCAGGCTATGAAATATGTATGCCAAGTGTAGACTGAAAAGTCTTTTCTCTTTCATTGAGATACTAATGCAATCAGAAGAATGCTATGTTATATTTTGTTAATACTGAAGAGGTGATGATTTACAGAACATGATTATCAAAATAATTTGATAAAATGTAAATAACTAATTTTCCTTTAAATGCTGTTGAAGTCTGATTAATCCTATAAGTACTGGCAATGAAGTTTGAGTGGCATATCCTCTGATAATTGGTCATGTTTCCTTGGGCAGCACAATTTTGTAGGTGGTGAATGAGAGCAGTCTTGAAATGTCCACATTTCTCAAAATTCTGTGATTCTCCTGTAGTTTATTGACTCCTCTGAGTAAGCTGCTCTCTCCTGTTTTGGGTTGAAAGCTGAAGATACGAGCAGGTGGATATTCTGCCCTATTTCTTTTCACAAAAATTGCATTATGTGCCTTCAGCTTTTGACAGGTAGTGGGTTGGAAGCTGCAATAATGGCTTTGTGGAAACAAAACTTCTTATCATTTAGCAAAATTGACAGCTCCTTTCCACTGCCAGGGTATTGTAATAATATTCACCATTGACAGTGTTATTCTTCAAGGAGGTTACATATTCAGTTATTTAAAAGGTAGAGTATCTACATTTTCTTATTTGACATAACTCATGGCATTTAAAGAGGGTGAATTAGCAAAAAGCACTGAAGGGTAAGATTTAGATCCAGAGAAGAGCCAAAGAGGCCAAGGAACTATTGAAGAAATAGCTATTTTAAAAAGCAGATAGCAGGGTTTCAGGCAACACTAATGCAGGCAGTCCACAATATTTTTTATATTTCATGCTAGAAAAGGAGTTGCAAAAGGATACCAGTTGATTAGGTTTGATCATCTGGTGTGGCACATAGTAACATGAAACTTTCAAATGGGAAATAAATTAGAGATGAATATGAAATAATGCAACAATGAAACTGAAAAAATTGTGGGTTCAAGCTTCTACCTTGTACTTTATGGCTTCATTTAAAGGAGAAGCCTTTTAGTTATGAGGCAAGTTGGTATTGTAGTTTTAATTTACATGGGTATTCTAAATGGCTGAAGTTAAACATTGTAGGTTGCTATTTTCAGCCAAGCAATTTAGAGTTCTTTTGAAAATTTCTCAAACTTTGAGTTGCAAGTTCTCCCAACTATAAAAAAGTTTTGCAACTACAAAAGATTTTGCAAATTTTTTGTTTTGTTTGCCTCAATTACACAGAATGGTAGTGTGTGAACTGTGCCTTGTTGATGCCACTTCTCACACGTAAGTTACCAGACTTCTAAATTGATGTTGACTTTGTCGCCTTTTTTTCAGTATAAAAACAAAGTCATGTTTGAGAAGACTGATCCACTGAGTTACAGAAAATAAATAGATAACATTGGGCACTGTTTACTTTTTGTATTAAAAAAAAAAAAATTTCCGTTACATGATATCTTTAGTTCTTTGGTCAAATATTATAATTGGTCCTAATAAAGATCTGCATCCAGGATGTACACAGCCAATGCTTCTCCTTCACACCTTTTGTTAAGTGCAGTGTAATTTGATATGATTTATTCAGTGATCTGTTGTAGACATTGACAGCTTGCCTCCAGCTCCTGGTGTTTGATTGACCTCTGGTAATACAGACAGTTCAGAAATTCTGTTCTTGACTATGTCTTGTGTATATGTTTTGGCAGTGCTTGTATTAAAAAAAGAAGTCTTTTTTCAGTCATGTTTCAATGTTAATCCTTGCCTAGGATGCTGGAGGATAGTGAAGGATGTGTTACATGCATGCAAACTAAAAAGCCATGTTCATTGAGATGATAGAATGTGCCTTTGCAGCCTTAGATTCCTGTCTCAGGCCCTACAGAACAAAGCCTTCCCTCAGTTTTTTTGCTTTTTCCTGTCAGTGATATTTTCAAGCACTTTGAAATTTTAAGTTTTATTCTTTTTGCTTGTTAGGTCTGATTTTATGAATATTCACACTGTGCCTTTACAGAGGCTTTTATAAAAATCTGTGAGTTCATTTGGGACTGCATCTGAAACACATTTTGCTGCTGCATCTATACACAGAACTCGATTCATGCACAAAGACTGAATTACATGTTGCAAGTCTGGCCTTGCCTTAATTGGACATAAAAGCCCATTAGCCAGCGCCCAGTATTATCGTATCAATTAAAAGGCAAAAAAATATCCTAATTTGCAGAAAAGGAGTGTGTACTTGTTTCTTGTGAGAGCTGCCAGAGAGATGGATAAACAGTAAAAAGCTGTGTCTGGAAGCTGATCTTTAAAATATTCAAATTTACGATTATGTTTTATCCCACCTGTCATGGGCAGAGATTTTCCTGTCATAGTCCTACTAAAACTAATAGGAATTTCCTTGTTCACATCCATATATTTGACCCACACCAAGGGGAGGTATGTATGAGGTGTGAGTTAAACCCTTGCTGCCATATTTGTTTTGTTTTCATCTTCTGTAAGGAGCTAAATTGGGGTTTAGTGTGATGGTTATTTGTTTTTCAGACACATCGAAAACTTACGTTGTTTTAAAAGTCCAAAATTTAAAAAGCACTACAATAGATAGAAGAGGAAGGGAGCCTTGCTGGGAACAAGACTTCATGTTGTAAGTAAAAGGGAATTCTTATCAATTGATTTTGTTGTATCTTTGCTGTATTTGTATAATGTAGAACAATTTAGTGCATGTGAGGTCACGTGCAGAGCACAAACAAGAAACAAGTATCCAGCTTGGAGAAAAGATGCCAGACTAATTCTGGGGAACACAACTAAAGTTAATTTTGCAAGCCACATGGCAGATCAAGGCGTGCAGTCAACAAGGTGAAGAATTTGTCTCCAAATTTAATTTCATAAAATGTTTTAGCAATACATTGCTAAAACGTGCATGTTTTGCATACATAATACATGTTTTAGCAATACAAAAAGAAATGAGACAATAAAGAACTCAAACTGATCCTCACACAGATTGATTTTTGTTTGCTCTTTTTCATTATGAATTATTTTATATGTTAATTTATCTACTTAACTGTCAGTTTAGGTACTTTATTTACCGTTGACTCATACTGGTTATCACTTCTGTCTGCATATCTTTCCCCACTTCACTCTCCATCTTGTTATTCAGTTGTTATCCTCTTTTTTGTAAAGCCCTGTATCCACCTCACTGGTCAGGAGGGTCCAAACACGATTATACTGACTGACATTCTGAGGAAACCTGCTTTCAACTTCCAAAGCAGTTAAACCAAATAAATATAATTTGATTATATTTTATTATATTCAATTAGATTATGAGTTAGTACATCAATCTCCAACATTTTTGGTCCCTCCTTTTTCCCTGCACAAGTCTTTCTCTGTGATCACACTCTTGTTGTGGAAACTTAAATTTTATTCTTGAGGTCTACAGATGGTTGAAATATGGTCACAGAATTAAATATTTAATTTGCTTTAGTTATTTTTATGAAGAATATCCTTTTTACAATTTTAGTTTTTTTCTATTCCAAGTATTCTAATATTTTGTTGAAAGAATGAGTTCTTTTGCATCATTTTTCCATACTTTGTGGTTATCAAAATGCATAAATATATTTTGATTGTATGCTGAAACTGAAATTTTGATTGGAATAACCGCAGCATGCTCCTCCAACAGACTCTTCAGAGCCACAGGCTCAATTATCTACAGAGGAGGATCATATCTGGTCTTGAAAATGTTAAGAAAAGTTGTTATCAGCAGCTGAACTTTTTAAACACCATTCTTACACTGCAGCTTACACTTGTAGAAAAGATATTCATGTTTTAGTGTACAGGAATCATTGTTCTATAATAATACTCTGTTATGATGATTATTTCAGAACTTTACTGATTTAGACATAATAGTTCTGTAAATCATTGGGCATGGATTGGATGACAATGTAAAAATTTCTCAGGAAATGGATCAATTAAACTTCAGCACTAGCCCTGTCAGGCAGGATGCAATTAAAAAATATTTTATAGTGAGTGTGTATAACCTAACCTCTAAATTTTCCTGAGGAATGTGTTAATGCTGTTTAAAACATTTTGTTTGCTCTTGTTTAAATGCTTTTGTTCATATTATATGTAATTGAATGTTCCATGCTATCATTAAAAATGACCAATTTATTAGGATTATTTTCTTAATTTGCAGTGTGCCAATTACCAAAGAATACTAAACCACTTCTGTAGCAATTACATTACAAGATTGTTGCCAACTCATCTCTACATCTGCTGCCTACTCATCTATACAACACAGCAGACTTTGAAAAGGGATTATAAACGAGCATTTACAAATATATTTATCTAGATTTATGTAAGTGTACTATAGTTCATTATCTTAAGGACTCTGACTCCATGTCTGCCAGTAAAAACTGTGTTCCATTACTTGCAGATATTACTGGCTTGCATTTTAAAGGTTGCACGTTGCCTAACCTTTCAATCTGTAGTTTCACTGTTCAGTTGTCAGTTTAAAGGTTGTGGTCCAAAAATACTAGAAGATAAAAATTTGCAATTAGTCTTTGGTAGTGCATTTATAAATAGAAAAGCTGAATAACACAAAAAGTCAGTATCTCTAGTCAACTGCATAAAGCAAGTACAGCAGAAAATTAGACATTGATGTAGGATGGTTTTTGTGAGCAAAGTAATGATTTAAGTAGCTGTCTCAGAGGTGGCACTTGCCATTCTCTGATCTCATTTGTTCTTTTCCTGATGATATTAAGTACATAGTAATGCTCTGTGGTACCCTACACAAGTAAGTTGAAGATAAGTTTTACTACTTAAAATTAACAGAGATTACATTAAATGAGTCAAGCAGAGACACCAATACCTACTTTATTATATTGTTCATATTTACATAACTGGTCTGAAATGGGGAACATTCCCTGAGGAAATGACCTCTCTCTTAATAATAATTCAATGTCATGAGGGAGTGATATGGATTGGTGAAATTTGATTTTTCATTCTTGAAAAATATGGTTGTGGTATGGTATTTTTTTGGTCAAAGTCAGCTAGTAATAAAATGCATGTATCCTGTAATTACAACTAAAGTAGAGTCTGGATCTGCAACTTTTGAAGTTGAGAGATGTTTTCCCATTGTTCCAGCAGAACTCTTCTCATCATTTCATAAAGGCAATCCTGAACAATATGACTTGAAATTTGGCTTGTTCAGTCTGACATCTGTGTTCATCCTGCTAGTTTGTATTTTACAAGTGTACTGAAAAACCTCTACCTCTGTATCTGCTGCAAGAAGATAATATTAAATTGCTATGATAGATTGCTGAGCAGTTGAGATTAAATTTTCAGTTTAATGATCTCTGTATTCATTCTTAATAGTGAAATCCATGCTGATGGAAAGGGCTTCATTATAGAGCTGTGGAAGAAAGGCTTGCTCTGGGATAGCATTTTAGGAGTTTTATGGATTCCCCTTGCCACAGTGGAATATGCAACAGATGTAAGTTGACTTTCTGTGGAAATATAAAAATCCAATACATTTCCCATTCTTGGACTCCCCAGATAACAACATTTGTGATCATTGTATACTTCTAATTCCTTTGCTTCAGTTGTAATATTAAGGCATAATGCATGTGTGGCTCTCAAAGTGACAACTGATACTCATCAGCCGTGTACCCCAGAGAAATGGCTCAGATCCTGGGCCAGGTATAACACAGAAGGTGAGTTAGGGTTCAGCAGAACTTAGGAACAATTAGAGAAACAGGCATGTGTGGTTTATATGATTAGAGTGAAAGAATTTTAGATCAAGTTCCATGGTCTGGCTCTTCATTTTGTGACCTTGAGTAAATCTCTATTAAAATTGGCAAAATACTGTTGCTCTCTTTCTCATGGGAATTGACCATTGACTCAAAGAGGAAAACAGAAATTTGCCCTGTTACAGAAGAAATTACTAGCACAGTGAGGACACAGGAAAGGATGACTGGGAAACTAGGTCAATACAGGAGTTACATATCTACCATAGTCACTTGGCCACAAGAATGACTGTACTTGCTTTCAGTAGGGAATTCTTATTTTATCAAATGAAAAAAAAAAAAGGTTTCTGGGAGTGTGGAAATACTGAATCACACTGCAATTACTGCAAAATTTTATAAATTTGGAAAAAGTAAGAGGTATCCTATTCTAATAATCCTCAATTCTCTCAATAATAAATATGCATTCATATGCATAGTCCCTGGAGGTTGTTTTTAATGAAGTAACTGTGAATTAGAGAAGATTAAGTTAATCCTTTCAAATAAAAATTGTTTGCCTTCTTTAATATTTATAAAACATAAAAAAGGCAATTGAAGATGGGGTAAAGGTAAGAAAACCGGAGGATGACTTCATGCAGTATTTCTATAGCCATTTCTTTACAGGAGCTAATAAATATTAATATATACGTCGAACTGCCATTTCAATGATCCTCCTCAGAAAATGGAAGCAGAGGAAGAAAGTAATTCCTGCTTAAATTAGAAGAGGCTCTGTATCACAGCTGCCAAGTGCCATTTCAAGCCCCAGGGCAAGTTGTTCTGCTCTGATGCCCAAGCTGTTGCTGAGTTACAACTTGCTGACACAGAGGTTGTGGCTTACTTGTAAATACTGAATCTTTAAACAAACAAAGATGCAAGATAAGAGATTGTTTCTTAATTTCTTCAGATCCTCTAAACCTTCATTTATAGTCTGCTGTGAAACATTCCTAGTTCTCCTGGTCCTAACCGTGCAGTTGTGTTCTGAGCTTTATAACTCAGAAATAACATACAAGGGTGTGTTGCTTTAGAAGCTTTTTTTTTTTTTTTTGGCTTGGTTATTAACTTGGATTGTTTCAGTCTTGCTAGAGTGTACTTGTTTGGCATTAGTTCAAAGGGGAGCTGGAAAATCTCAGTTGATAAGAGTAATTTTCAGTATTCATATTTGTTGTGTCTTAATCATCTGACAACCACAATGTCTATTTGTCTATATTATTGTGCAAATGTTATATTTTGAATTTGATAACTGAGAAGACTTGAAGTACTAACTCGTACATCAACAAAAGCTGGAAAATACTAAAATGGTGTTATAAAGGAGCTCCTACTGACTTAGGGGAAACTTCATTCAATAAAAAGTGAGTAATGCTATAAGTCCTGCCCAGGTAATGTCCATAACCTCTTTTTCCTAGGAAGGCCCAGGTTCCTGGTGGAGATTGCATTCTGAAGTAATAAAAAATGGAAGTGAGATTCAAGGCACAAAAACACCAACTTCTCATGAGATCTTACTAGACATCTACTTTGCATTGCCATTTGGTGAGTTACAGATTAAGGTCCAGCATTTCAGCCATTCTGTTCCTGTAATTTCACCTAAGTTCCTGAAATATGCCAACAAATAGCAGTTCTTCTATAGAGTCCTAAATGCCTATTTATCACTAGAGCATTTTCACAATCAATACTGGTAATTGTTACTGGCAAGAACGAACCACATCCCACAAGGAGTTGGGTGAGCAGTTTCATAGTTTCATAGTTCCGTGGTGACCCACCTGTGGATTGCAGAGCTAAAGAAGGAACTACCTCCTTCAGGGTCAGTACTAGAGCCTGTATGTTACAGCTCTGCAGCACATCAGCTTTGACCAATGTACAATGTAAGTTTTAAAAGATGGAAACTATATATATATATATATATATATATATATATGAATGTAGTGTATGTGAAGGTAGAAATGGAAACTGAACTTCAAATAATACATCAGCACACATTACTTCTAGATATACTGAGATTGACTTTACAAAGATTATCAGTCAATCTATATTACATGGTCTATCTCCAAATAAGGTCACAAACATAATTTAGCTTAACATTTTACTCTTCAAATAGTCTAATGAACTGTGTCTGAAAAGATTAATCCTAAAATTTATGCAAGAATAAAGTAAAAAAAAGTGAAGAAGTATAAATAAGAAACTATATGAAAAGGAGGACTAGGCGTTATACCATACGCTGTTTGGTTGTCAAATTTATTTTTAAAATTTATTTTTAAAATGCATTGTCTTTGATTAACCTTGATGATTTTTTTTTATGTAGTCTGCATGATTACACTCCTGTTAATACATCAGGTGGAATACATACCTTTTCACAGAGTGACAGTGGACTATTTTAGTTTCCTTATAAGCTACAGCATAGGCTTTTTTTTTTTCCCCTTTCATTTTCCTTTTTTTTTTAAGCAAAATTTATTTATTATTTACTACTTGGCCAAAAGAATTCCAAAATATAACCTCTGCCCTAGTTGCGTTTCGGTTTTTATTTGGTTTGGTTTTTTGATATGTTGAATTAGCAGAATGTTTTATTTCCTTACATCATTCTCATATCCAGAAACCTAGTGTAAATCTGGAATAGGAACTCTAATTGTGTGTTTACAAGATATAAATTGACATTTTTGGTTATTCAGGCTGCAACCTGGAGAGAGTGTTGGTTTGTGTGTTGAAGCTTGTATTCTGATTTCAAACAAATATGTTTTAAAAAGTTCCCAAGGCAGGCCCTGGGACTGTAGTCATGGAGTGCTGTGAAAATCCTGTAGAGGTCTCTCTTACACTGTAGTTTTCTTCACAGTGGCAAGAATTCAAAAGCATTATGTCTTGGTTATTGAGAAAGCCAGGATTGTCATCTACTGGGAGTTAACGAGTACATTTTCATTGTTTATCCTGTTGAATGACTCAGCTCAGCTATAAGCACCTGAGAATCTGTTACTGGAATCAGTACAGCCTCTTTATTATGACAAATTACATAGAAGACTGCAGTTACTTTTGACAATTCCTGAAGGACGTTCATTTGACAATGCCAGATAATGGGCAGAAATATAACAGCTTCCCATGTTCCTTTAATAGTGTGACTTTATTTGGACTTGAAATCCGGTGTGAAGTAACATGGAAATGCGTTCTCAGCAGTAGTTCAGTGCCTTTTCTAGAAGTATCATCTAATGTCAGTTGTGGAAGCAATAAAGTTGACATTTCACTGTTGCCAGCTAGACTGAGCTCCATTAAAAAAGGCTGCTAAATAAAATTAATACCTACTATATTTAAAATTCTGCAAAGTCACTGTAATAAAATACTGAATTTAGATAAACACTGCAGTTGAATTACAAACATTTTTCATATCTCTAAAACTCAAGTTTTTTAAAGGGTAATCAGGGATTTATGAAATATTTTTCCTTCACATTTTTTAGGTCTTTCTTTGTAGGCACACAGTTTGTAGTAATTGGGAGTGGGGCTGGGCCAAGCCTCATCCCCAATGGGTGCACCTGAGCAGCAGGTGAGCAGCACTGACAGCAATGAGTCACGGAGTGCCCAGGGGCACTGCCCAACCACCAAAGGGAGCAGAGGGCACACAGGGGCACTGCATCAACATGAGGGTATTAAAGGTTGGGCTAAAGAAAAAAGAATGGCAGATGCTTGCAGCCTTCTGAAGTGACGTGGTGTCACTGTGTTTGGGCAGAGGCCTGAAGCCTTCTGATGTGGTATGGTGTTACTGTGTATGGGTGAGTGCTTAAAGCCTGCTGAAAGTGTAAGGTGATATTTTGTGTATTGTGGTTGTCTCAACTGTGACATACGCTGTGACATTTCTTGTAAGATACAACAGAAGAAAATTTAAAGGACATGTCTTACTTTTTTCCTTGAGATTAGCATCAGAAATAGGTAGTTTGCTTCTTAACAATATAATACTTACAAAAGAGTATAAGCTAAAGAAACGAAAGAATTTTACTGAAGTAATTGGTAATAGCTGTAATTTGGAAAATAATTTGTGTGTCTTGGAAGCTAAAAAGTTATTTTGCCAAGTAGCCTACTAAAAGTCAACAGAACATTTACTTCATTAATAATTTTGGAAAATACCTTGCAGAACTCACGTCTTAGGCTTGGTTTTAATTCAACTCATTATCACAGATCTCGTATACGTTAATTAGCAAATGAAGTAACAAGAACAAAGTAGCAATGATGAGATTTAATCCCTGTTTCTGCATTAGTAACCATGCTAATGCATTGATATGCCAAGGGATTAGCAAATGAGAAAGTTAATTGTTCTGATACAACTTTGATCAGCAAAAACCAAAGTCCTGAAAAATCATAATAGGCTAATTGTGGAAACTGTGTATCACCGTATAGGATTCGAAGTACAGACCACTTTAGTTAGTATAATAATTTGCATGTACTTAGAATTTAAAAGTTTTCATTAACATATGAAGTAGGAAAACTGAAATGTTATGTTTTCCAGAGTGTTGTCTTTATCTTTTGCGTGTTTCACAACAATGTTGTGTTCACTTTGAGTAAAAGATATGACATAAATTTCTGACAGTTTACCTAGTGTTGGTAAACACTGTGATGGAAAATAAAAGCATTGTTCCCAATCCGTGAGCAAAACTTTAAAAATGGAAGAAAGAGGTGGGCACACAAATTCTCATCATCATCATGGAAGAAAACTTCTTCACAATCAGGGTCATGAACTCTTTCCTCTCACTAAAGACAATAGGATTATTCATAGAGCAAAATGTTCTGCAGGAAATCAGTTTGTACCTCCAGTTGCAGACTTGTCATGTTTCTCCCAAGAGCCTAGAGCTTGTGAACAAAAGCATCTTCAGTTCTAGGCCAGTAGTGTGTGGAATTTATAGTGGAGCCTGATTCCCTACATAAAGCAAACACACAAAACCCTCAGAACCAAAATTCAATCAAACAAAAAAACACAGATCTCAGACTGCTGTGCATGGATCCATAAGAAATACCTGGCAAGTTGAACTGAAAAATTTAAAAATATCAATTTTCTTCCTAATCTAGCAGTAGATAATTTTTAAACTGTAAAATGAACTTCGTTTAACAAGAAAGTAACTGGTATAGGTCTCTCAAAATTTTTAGAGTACCAATCAGATGATCATCTTGGAACTCTTTCTGCTGTTCTTGTAATAAATGATTTAATCATTATAATGTTTTCAATTGTTTTGCTAATTCCCTGTTACTATAGATTTTATGAATTAAGATAATTAATTTTATGCAAAAAAAAGTAAAATTAGAAGTAAAATAGGCTGAAAGATTTCTAGCAGTTTTCTCCTTCTCTACAGATACCCACAGAGATTTAGATTGCAGAGGTTTGCACAGAGAGACAACCCTCCAATGTACAAGACATTCACATCAAGATACAAATGACAGACAGACATCCATGGAAAGTGGGCTCAGCATACAAGAAAGCAAACTCAGGTATTTTACCTTGTCACATCAGACATGTATGATATCATTTGTTGATTTTAATTTTTTTAAATATCTGAATGTCAGCGTGATACATACAAAATTATTTCAGGCAGGAATATGAACATCCCCTCAACTTGTAGAGAGAATTTTAGGTATTAGAGAAAAATTTAGGTATTTTCAGGTAAAATTTTTCAGGTGTTTATTAGCTTTTCTGTGTTCTTTTATGGCAAATACATGTACACCTGTCCTGTTCTCACCCCTGGGCATGTGACTACATAGGATTCAGCTATTCCATAGTGACTTCCTGAAATTTTAAGAAAGGAAGGAAAGCAACTCCTGACATCATTTTGGTATTGTAACTTTTCTATTTCATCTGGAATGCAGGAAAGACATTTGATTCCATTTTTGAAGCTAATGTATTTACCTAGACAGGCTGCCTACATTTCTGGAAGTTTTCTAGAGGGAAAATTAATATTTTCTATCAATTTCTTCTGAACAAACACGAATGCAATGGAAAGAAAGAAAGGGGGGGGGAGATAATTGCTGTCTTTCTGCTTCTCTGAATGTGGAAAATGATGATGCATAATGGTGGAAGGGGCAAAGAATAAGGTGACGACAACTGTATTATTTCTCTGCCATCGCCTTCTGCTGAGTGGAGCTGAATGCTCAGGAGGGAGCCCAGTCAGCCTCTAAGAACACTCAGCAGTGGTCTCTGAGCAGGAAGAGGTTTTTCTGTGTTAGACTAATCACTTCACTTCTTTTGAAAGGCAGACTTGTGAGAAGAAAGAGTTCCCTCTACTGTTCATTTTGGCTTTCATAGCAGCTGTCACAGACTGTATTACATTTCATTCATGGTGTCTTTTATCTATAGCAATGTATGAAAGACAGTGTGAGCAGCTGACACTCCAAAAGGTGTTCTGCCTTGATGAGGGGTAGAAAAGGCTCTTGGGAAAGGCAGGGAGAATATTTACTGTGTCAGGTACTTTGCTCCTGTTTAAATCATGTCTAACAGCAGTGTTACTAGAAAATTGGCTCAAACATGTGAGAAAATACAATAAAAACTAATGAGTTATTAAGTTATGTATTCTCTGAGGCAATAATATCTTGATGCCCTTAAACCACCTTTTCATGTACTTTAAAAAAGCAGAGTCCTGGTGCATGTAACTTCTACACAAAATTAGGAAGTAAGAGTCTGCAAAAAGCTCAAGCTCAAGGTTGCAGTTAGAGACTGCACATGGACAGGGTGCCACAGCATTGCTTGGGTGCCTGTCAGCCCTCACCGTTTACATTTCCTAGTCAGCCCTTGCAGGGTATTTACAGAGAAGTACAAGTGCATCCTCAGGGTGAGAGCTGTCAGTAATGGCAGCACTCAAGAGCTGTTTCTCTGTGTTGTTCTAAGCACATGTCCAGTCATTAGCATTTCATCTGTGCTGACGTGTCATTTTCAACAGAGATCTGTGCCTCTGAGCAGGGTAAACTAAGCCAAACGAAGTTAACCCAATCTGACTATGGAATTCTTTCCTTTATGCCCTTGTACCAAATAATTTTATTGAAATTCAATGAGCTTTTATACTACTAAATTGAGGGTCAGCACTAAACTATTATTTTTAGATGTGTATAGGTATATTTCAAATAACTGCATTTGTACTAAAAATCTGGGATCTGGATGAGACTATTTATTTTGAATAGCTGTATTAAACACCAAAATTAACTATAAATATATATATATATAAATATATATATATATATAAATATATAAATATATATATATAAATTAACTGTAAATATTTAAGTATTAATATGTTTCAAATTTCTTCCTTAAGTGTTTTTTAGACTGATATTAATTCATCCGTTCCTTGGTTATGTACATAAGTGGTGTTTATGGCTGCTGACTTTAGGTGTAGACTGATGACTAATTAAGTGTAACTGAGTAACATTTTCCCATAAAACAAAAGCTCACTAAATCAAAATTTGAAGGTTGTGGTAAATTATTAGGTAGCCTCTTCTTGGAGCAATATTTTTTTTTCCTGGAGGGTTAAAAAAAAAAGACAGAGAAGGGGAAAATACTAATTTTAAAAAAAACCCCAAAACCCATAAATCTTCTGAGTTTTTCTATAATGTAATTAATGAATGAATCACCATGAATTTTTAAAAATCAACAATTAAGTATTTATTGTATACTTCATTGCATCCTGATATGAACTGATACTGAGATGTAATTGGCTCCCTTATTAATATTCATAGTGTTATATTGTTTGCTATGGTGACAACTTCTCATAATAAATGAGAAATCATTGTGATACTCCCTGAGATTCTGTGTAATGTAACATTATTCGTGATAAATTCTTTAGGCTTGAAAGGAACAGGAAAGGCTTTTGAAGTTTTCTTTTACTTGGATTAATTAAGTTCTGTGCCTTCTTAGAGGTTTCTGATATCATGTAATGGTATTAAGTCTATTACTGTTAAGCAGTTATCTTATCTTGGGTTCCCAAAAGGTTTACTTACTATAAAAGTTAACACATTTTACTTAGACCTTACATAATAGTAAATTTTTAAGGTAACCTAGTACTAGCAGGGAAGTAGTTTATCTAATTAATGCTTATATCTGTGTGCAAAAGAAGATTCAATCTCTGTGCAAGAATTCCCTTGAAACTACTAGAAAATTCGTTCATTTACAGAAAAGCTAAAATAGTTGTCAGGCATCAGTTCTGCAGAGAAATTCCCTTTCTTTGTATGACTTGAACTCTAAAAACAGCCATTTCAGGTGGGAGCATAAGAACTCTACATAAAAAGAGCTACACAGCAGGAGAAAAGAGGGTTGTCATGGGAAAAGCAGCAAATGTTTATAAAAAGTTTGATTTGGCTCCTACCACTGTGTCATATTTAATCTGTACAGCGCTACCCTGAAACACACATTATATTCAGAAGCAGGGTAAGTGTCACTGGAATTAGTTTACTATACTTGCATAGCAATTTATTTTGTTTGTTTATTGCATGCATATTCAATCAAGTACTTTTATAATACTGATTTTAATGGCTTTTTAATAAAATTTATATGTTAGGCATTGGTTATGAAGAAAGAGATTCTGTAGGAGAAAATTGAGTTTAGTTGATTGAAGAGATATGCCTTTCCACTATATATTTGGGAAAAAAATACAGACATTATTTTTTGAGTTAGGTATCTTAGAAGAAAAAATAAATTTTAATGATACAGCATTGAAATAAGAGAGAAATAGGAGACTAACAAATAGGCAAATCCAGGCAAAATCTGGAGAAATTCATAATGTCTCCCTAAGTGTCAGATAGACATTGTTTGCTTTCTGGGAACAATCCAGGATGACACTTTGACAGATTCAAGATTGATTAAAAGCTGCAACTTCAGTGGACAGTAGAACAATGTCTTGATAATATCTTGTTCACATCAACATGTGTTTCCCTGTGTCACCTGTCTCCTGCCATAGCCTTTGGTCTTGTCAATTAGCTTCTGTCCTAATTGTGTGTTCATTTTGTTCAGATAAACATCTTGCAGTTTGGAAATCACATTATCTCCTCAGTTCTGCAGTAGCTACATTAGTATCTTGTGGGGGTTTCTCAGGTAGCAGCATGGTCTTGTAATACCTTTATATCCATCAGAAAAACCTGGAAGTTACTTTGTAAAATGTTGATTTACTGTTTTGGTAGGTCTTTAAAAATAGTCTCTTTCTTCAAAGCTGCTGTTCTATGGCAATATAGTGGGAAATATGAGCTGTTATCTACTGGCATGGTATTAAGTGTACAAGATCAGTATCACAAGCTGTAGTTTTGATAGATCTGAATGACAGTTTACAATCCAGTTCATAGCTCTGAGTGGTAGGAAATGCAATATTAAAAGTTTAGGTATAGATTACTGTACGTGTCTATTTTCACACCTTTTAGCACCAGGCTTGCAGTTGAGGTGTTTTTTTAGAAGAAGATTTAATAGAATTTAATAAATTCCTCCAATCATACTAAAACCAGGATATTCACTCCATCTTAGAAACCAGACCCTTCAAGAAAGGGATATATTGATGTTTGAGAATAATAGTTAATCAGATAACAAGAAAATCCCACAGTGTTAAATCCAAAATGACTCTACATATTTTGAAGTCAAAACATTTGAAGTGGCTTAAAACAGAGAAGTTTAAGTAGTTATTAGTTACTTTTCCCAATACTCATTCTCAGCTACACAGAAGAGTTTGCTATTTCTCTATCTGCGATGGAAAAGAGATTTTTTATTGGGGTGATACTGTAAGTCAGAACACTAAAATAATATTACTGCAAAGTAATTGTTAAAGCAAGTTTGGACTTCCTGAATCAGTTTTAGCAGAGACAGCAACATCCCTTCAGTAAGTCATGCTGTGATCAGACTCCAGACCCATCTAAGGAGTCAAAAGACACATGGGAGAGGAAGGTACTTTCCTTGCACCAAATTGTTAATTTTGCCCAGGAAGGGGAGTGTTGGTCAAGCTGCAGTAATTGATGGCTTATCTTTAGCAGCTGTGCAGACTTGGCTCAGGGTTATTTCTAAAAGCAGCCAGGGATGGATCTTCTTCAGGAAAACATGAAGATCAACATCAATGTGAATTATGCCTATGAAAATATTGTGAAGAACTGGAGGAAAAATTTGAAATGGGGAAAAAAAAATGAGGATTAATGCATACCTTTGGGCTGTCTTAGTTTGCTCTATAGGTGAGTCAGAAGTTGTAGCTCTTATACAAGACTCAAGTTCTCAATGATTAGGTAGGTAAGCTGTAAAAGAGAGCTGGAGGAAAAATTGAACTAAAGGAGATATGTAAGCATATTTTTGTTTCTGCTCACGCATTGCTAAATTTTTGAATCTGAATGGCTAGAAAGCAGGTGTTATTGCTGTATTATGTGTTTGAGGCACTTAAACAAGGTTTTCTCCAAGAAATCAGAAAAAGTTATTTCATTACTGTAGTAATGTTT